TAAGAGAATGATCTCTATCAGATCAAATATCTCAGGTACGGTGCCTTGCCGTCACTCTCTCGATATGTATATCCAAAGCCAGATTTTTATTTCACGCAAGCACCCTCTGTCGTACCCACGATTACCCGATTTGCCTAGATATAAATGACCCTCGCCCGCGAAGGTGTTTTGATTACTTATGGCAGATTTTATTAGGAATAAAAAAAATTTTCCTCTGGAAGCAAGGTTCTTACGAGCTAATTTTCAAGCAAATAACTAGCTGTCTATTGACGGCAACATATTCATCCAGGCAACGCAGCAGGACTTGAGTCACTCAACACTACGAAAAATTTGTCACTGCGAAAAGATGGCCTGTTGTTTTTCTGTGAACGGTTATTTCGAGCTTTTACATTCAATACTGGCTTAATTAAGTGTCGTTTTAGATGGCTAGCCCCTTCGAATCGGGCGCACTATTTTTTTGGAAGCAGGAAACACTCACATGTTCCCAAGTTTCGATAGGTAAACATGTTGCTCCTAAAGGCGCTGTTACCCCTATCTGTACCTAATAAGCGAACATGAAACTATAGTTCATGCGAACGCGGAATGGGGACAGGCTTATTTAAGTTCAACGGTTATATAGAAACGGCTTTGGATGTATCTACACTTGTGCCTGTTTGTCGCTTTCATTTGAAGCACAAGGCCTGTTCTTTCAAAACAAATCATAATAATTGTTATTACTGTTAGTGTTATTATAATGATTGTTTGTTATTATATCGAATTCAATTCATTACCTGTTGGCTTATATCGGGGATAATTTCTACGGCATATATTTCACGCATCGTCTAAATTGTTGCAGACAGTCAATATTAAGAATATATTTAATTCATCATAAGTGACAACGGCAAAAACGTACCAATAAGAACTGACCAGCCAGAATCCATTGAGAAATTACCAGATATAAATGTTATTTATAGCCATAACCATAACGATGGACTTAATGAGGATGGTCGTTATTTTCGTGGTCGGACAGATGTACAACTTCGTATGCAGTATAGCCTATTGCTACCGTTCAGATACCTGTTTATCGAAGAGCCTGAATTGAGGGCGTACGATAGCGCTGTATGCGTTCATTGGGCTTAACGGTATATATTATTGCAGCTTTTCTTGCGCACAGACTTGTCGGTAAGACTCCAGCTAGTCGCAACTGTATCAACTTTAGATGCTTCAATCTACTGAGGATATATACACGCTATCATTAATCTCAAGTAGCAGTATTAAAAAAAAAAAAGCAATCTTCTTATTCTTCTTCTTCTTCTTGTTTTAGTTCCAAAAGAGCTACCGAGAGTCAAAGCTTTATCTGTAGTCATTTGACTCATTACGAGGAACATATATTAACAAGAAAGCTTGAGGAAAAATCCTTGAGCGGCGAGTCCTTAGCCAGCAATAGCAGTGGTCGACATTGTCCGCTTTGTCGTCCAGGGGTAAAGTCTGCAGGATGAGTCCTCGAAGGCTGCTAACCGGAAAGGGTATTTCAGGTTTAACGTCATTGTTCACGCTTACTTGGTAGCGAGAACGTACCAGAGTAGGCGCGTCTTCTAGTTGTAGCTAGGTGGAATCCTTCAACCTTTTCAAGATCTTACAGCTAACACGCTAACGCACACGATAACTAATCCAGCTAATGAATTAACGCTAGCCGATTTCAACGTTGCTTGTGGTCTTAGTGATAGTGATTTTTATGGTAAGAAAATTGTTCAATTTCTTTTTGTATTTCCCACTGAATGTTGTGCTGGGTAGGCCGATTAAAGGTCGACTAGGCTACAGCTCTGGTCGAAATTCTGCATTTATAACAAGAGCATGTTCGTTAGGTGCATTCACTGCCTAGGTTAGTTAGCTTTAAAAAAAATCTTATTATGGTAACATTGTATTACTGTCATATAGCACGCTTACTGAGTAACGTTGATTTAAATAGTCTTAGTTCGACTTTAATGAACGCGGAAAGAACCTCCCTGATGTTATTTAGGTGACTTCTCTGCGACATTCAAAGCTGCTTTGAGAACAATTCCAGTTCGTATCATATAAATAATTATACTACCTTTCTGAGAAGCATTGAAATTTCTTTAAAGGAAAATTATTCGTTCCTTCCATATGCTGTCTTATAGGCCGACATTAATATGATCACGCCCCGAGGGCACACTACACAGAGAGGTGTTCAACACCTACTTTTTGATAATTCGGTGATAACATGATTGCCAATCGCACCAAGCGACGCACAAGGTGGCCTAAGTCCGTTACCGGGTGTGGACACGCGGCGCGATTCGTGGTAAGAGGGCCCAGCAGCCGTATGGAGCGATATTTAGTGGTTGTGACACTGAACGTAACGCTCGAAACATTTATTCAGATGTGTTTACGCTAAACGAATCTAATATGGCCTGCCGATACGCTTCTCTAACGTATTGCCTAGATGGACGCCATTATAAGATACCCTTCAAGGCTAACTCAGTATGCTTGTCGAGAAGGCGATCGTTCGCCCTACACTTGAGTTTTATGGAAATCGATTTCCAACGCTTAATTAGGCAGTACTTCGAAAAAAAAACATCGCTTCTGATTCAAATAGTCTACAACTGGAGGTCGGGGTGTGCTCGACTGCTATAGAAGCCATAGTGCCTAAGTGATCGTATCTTCACGATCTCCTGAGTCCTTCTAAACGAGACTTCGTAGATTCGCCTGTTCTCTATATAGTTGTAGTATTAAAGCTCCAAATTTGAATTTTTTTTTTGTAAAAAAAAAGCTAGATTTAAATTGAAGCTGACAAAATTAATGTCTAAATGTACCATTTGCCTCTTAAAGACGATATGTTAATTGTACGTATATTTTGCCGCCCTTCTTAATCACCTACGCTGGGCATTTAACACAGCCGGGCGTTCGAATAACTTATTTGATTTGTTTTGGTAATGCGGTGGCTTGGACGGTCTAGTGATTGGTTAAAGAAGACCAGGAGCTGCTGTTTCAAGTCCTGCCGATAACGTACATTGTGCAGCACGAGTGTTAATAAAGAAGCTCATTCACCTTCTTTCGTTTAACTTGTTCACGCTGTCGCGTAAAGGCAATCAATAGCGATATTGTCCTATGGTCTTCTTTTAAAAAAAGTACTTTGCGCTTTTTTATCGCCTTCTCCGTCTCTGCTCAGGGGCGTTTTTAAGCGACAAAAAGGTAACGCTATTTGAAGTTTCTGTTTTGCCGTGTCTAGAACTCAGAGCTTTCCCGCACTTTGCCTCGGGCGACTTATTCCTCCCCGTTTATAATTTCACAGACATCCGCCGCTCCTACTTTTACCGCTAGAGCTGTTGTCATGATCTGTATGGCCATTGCTAACTTTTCTTGACTCCACTTATAAATGAAACTTATCAACGTAGTTATACAAGTGGTACCAGTTGTCTGCCACTATTTTAGAATGTCACCGTTTTTTGCTCGTAGATCCTAGAGAGGTTTCATTCCTTTTCAGTCCTTCCTTTGCACACTTGGGAGTGTCTTGACGAAGATCATTAGAAGCATGACTTTTTTTTATTTTCAGCTCCTGGAGGGCATTCGATATGACCTGCCTGCTTTCTCCAAGCTAGTTGACCATGAACAGTGAAACGATCCTTAAATGAGATGCTTTTCTGAGTCTGTTTCGTCTACTAACGTACATTATTCTTCCAATAAACAATTGAGTTCACTTGCCAGAATCCAGTAGCCAACATCCAACAGTCATCACATGCCTTCAGCATACCCATAACATTAATTTTCCCATGGCTCACTTGCTCTTCACAAACAAAAACCTGCACACCCTTGCTGAATTTGCCCACTCTCTGCTGTCAACCCTAGTGACCGGCCCTAGCCGACCAACTGACCTGTGCTCTTTCTGAAGTAATGAAAACCCAGGTTGCTTTTACTAGTTTCTTCAAAACCCCCAAGTGCGTCCCCTTTGAAACGAAGCCCGCTGTTTTCCACAGTTGTCAGCTTCGACCAGTATTCTACTGCTGTAGGGATTTGATAGTGTCGGCGCTGTTGTGGCGTCTTGTGTGTCTCCCTTGTCTTTTTCTTACGTGTGCCCATCAACGGCTTTCCTGTAGCTCTTTGTGTCCACCTAGTCATTCCCGTTTCCCTGCCTTACTTATGCAGTACATTGTCCATTATCAACACCAGCCTCATAGTCGGCATTACCTCTGTAATTGGATTCGCTGCCAGCTAAGCAGCTCCAATGTATTTCTTGTGACGCCACAGATACACCTATCCTTGTTGCTGTCATGCGTCAACATCCTTTCTATTACCGCCTTTTCTTTAACACCTCGTTTTCTTCGTCGGTGGGCGCGCGAACGGGCAAATCGAAGCCGACCCAGAACGGAACTGGCAAAAGATCGAACATCTACGCTGTAACGGCTAGTTGAGCCAATGACTATCTGTTTTTTCTCTCACTTTTTCAACGTCACCAACGCTCTAATCTGTGTAAATAGTGAGTTGCTACTTTTACCTCCTTTTTAACCCCCTGTTTACTAGAACCCATCTCCACTTCGAGCAGTTCTTGCCTTCACATTGCGTTCTTCCTTCTCTTTTTCCTTCTGCCTCTGCTAGCAATTGTTCCTGATCCTGCTCAAGGAATCTTGTGTGGCTGGCGCCCATTGGACCAGCGACTCTGCTTGGTCGCCATGCCGCTACAGTCGTTCTACGGTCTTCACCGCTCTTTGGCTACCGCTACTAGCAGAGGCCGGCACCAACGCCATTTCTAGCCGTTGTAGGGGCTGCAGCAGAGCCAAGCTCCTAGGGCCAGGAACGGGCCGACGGGCCGAAGCCGTGGCTGAGGGCGAAGATCGGCCTGAAACAGCCTGAACCATCTGATGCAGCTAAAGCGGCCAGTCTGCCCTTTCCTTTTTTTGCGACCCTTTCCCATCTGCGGCAGTCCCTCGCATTCGATCGCTGCTTTTGGAAGGGATAAAGTGAAGTGGATCGGGAAGCTCGGGAGCAGTGTTGAAAAGGAGGTCGACAATCCTCCGAATCGCTGGCGAATGCCGCAAAAACACAAGACAGGCAAGTCTGACTAAGGACGTCTTGTCGTGGTCTGGCACGGATAAAGCGTCATGCGTTACTTAATGCAGCAACAAAACCAATAAATTAAACTACGTAGTTGCTATAAGTGCGTTGACGACTAGCTCGTATTGCGTAAAGAAGTAATAGTAGATGAAAGCAACAACAACGGTTTTTATTTGAAGAACGAGGAGGAAAATAACAACGAGTACGCAATAGGGGTCATCGACGTAAGACGATTAGAGTGGGAGGCCCGTTCAAGTGGCGCGCGTTGAACCTATGGCATCGTGCAACAAAGGAATGACAATAAGAACAATAACATTGAGAAATTTAGGCGTTTCGAACCAGCTGAAAGCAGTAGTAAGGAAGCGGGATCAGGGTGCGTCGCGCGTAACAGTCGCAGCAGAAACTGCAACGGGCGTCATCTGGAAGAATAACGGAATTTACGAAAAATACGCCGTGTGAATTTGACTGCGCAACGTGCCTAGGAGTGACCAGTAACGACGCTCGGACGACTACCTTATTAGCCATAGGGTAGACGTTCGAGGGGCTGCGTCTGTATGTCTGTGTAGATGACAGGATGATTGTGTGAAAAACCTGCTGTTGTTGTAGTTATGGTGACTATCTATCTTCCTGCCTCGCGCTACCCCCAAAAGGTGGATTAAGGGAAAAGTTATCGAAAATTGACTCTGGATAACGGATCGGCTCCTCACAAGTCTACAAGCAGCGTGGACAGGAGCCAGAGGCAGAAAAGACTATTGGTTTAGCACCATACCAACAGATTCGCTGCAAGTATTAACGAACGTATAAGAAGTACACCTAAAGTCGGAAACACCAGCACTACACCTTGGATCCCCAATCCTTAAATGTGCCCGATAATAACCCTTGCTTATCTGTAACAGAAAATGAGAAATAGGGTAAGCCTAACGTCTTTCGGTTTTCTCTTGATCATCCCTTTGTGCGGGAAATAGAGAAGGCTCTCTCATAAAAGAATTGCATCCGAAAACGAACGAACTGCTTCCACCAACGTTGAATCAAGTTACTTAATCTATTTGGCACGTGAATTAGACTGAGTTTACCGGTTGACGACGACCTGTGAAGGTATCCTGACCAATAACAGGGTAATTCTGCTTCTGGTGATATTGTGAAAATGCAGTAAATAGCTCATTCTTTGGGTCCATTGCATTTATAGTGTAAGCCCGTGGGTAAAGTTTATCTATCGTGATTCTTGTGTTGTGGTTCTGTATTTGTTGCGTTGGAGGTTTGGAACGCGTATAAGCGATCGCCACATGGACAAAATGCGATGCACAGTGATTCTCGCTATAGGGCTTCTTCACTACGCCGTCACGGCAAGTTGTCTACGAACGCTAGACAAAGTCCGGCTATCGACGTTGTCCTGTAAAGCCAATTGCCTCGAAAGTGTGAGTAACTAGTTTTCAACCGTATATATATAGATTTAAGTAATAATCATTCTATGGATCAGCTTCATTCTTACGCGGCCTAGATCCGCCAGTTACTATAATTAGGCGAAAGGGTATCGAGATGTGTTTACTTTGGTCGTATGAAATTAGTATGTGGCTCTATTCTTTCATAAATCATGTACGATATTTTCACAAGGTTTTTAAATGAGGAACTAGTAAGATTTCGGCAGTTGTAGCTAGCAACGCATCGGCTATTTTTGCAGAAACAATATTGCATCTGCAGTAATGAGGTCCCAGCGATGTACCTCTGCTTATCTGGTTAATATTTAGTTCTCGTTGTGTTTATTTTAATGAATTACAGTATGTAGGAGGTACGTATAGCCCGACGAACGTGTCCAGTGATCAATTTGAGGCAAAACAATAGATAGCCTTTAAAACCAATTTAACTATGTTTATATCCGACTAATTTATACAAGAATATAATTAATTGTAAGGTTTCGTTTCAAGACTTCGTACCATATTGAAACGATCAGCTAGCAGATGTTTTCTGTAGGGCGTTCAGCCATTACTACTGTTACAGAAATGTATGCAACAGATATTTCAAAGGTACTTTTGGCACCGGTAACTATTGACGATTCGTGAAAAACTTACATGCCTATGTACAGTACCAAGTTTCGTACGACGACAGGCCTCAACAAATGACCAATCAAAATGTAATGGTGGATTTAGAAAACGACTAATCTTATTTTGCATAATCCATATCATTTATTCGGAGATGTTCGGTGTACTCGAAGTTTCTCACTCGATACCGGGCGTTTTTATGATTTTTGCACAATTTATAAACTGGGTCTCTTACGTTTCTGAAAATTGGCAGAGGGAAACCTCTATGAGGTAATAGGGCATAGAACCGTTTTTTAAAATCGCTTTAGGGCCTAACATGTAATGGTGCGACTAGGCCTTTGGATATATCACACAGACGAGAGAAAGCGGGAAAGAATAAAAATTTGCCAAATGGCTGTCTAATCTGCCAACGTAGGATTGTTTTGCTTTTTGTAAAGTCAAACAATCAGACCGCGACCTTGCCTGAGGCTAAGACGCCTCAATTGGCTGAATAGACTTCCTGTGAATTCACTGGTGCTAGGTTACAGGCGGCGCCTTAGCAAACACCCAACACCTCACAGATGCTTTTAGCGTAACGAGTAGTTATGTACTTAGTAGCGGATAACCTACTAAAGGTTAAATTAGCGCGGTCCAACTGTGTGTCTTGTGGCCGTCGTGAGCGTACACGTCGGCTAGACGTCGGGTTGTCCGATTTGCTGTCATATAATCGATATGTATGGAAGCTGAAGATAATAGAGATTTCTGAGAATCATTCATATTAAATGGTGGCTTGGAAAGCATATCACCATAGGCACAGATGTCGGTACTTTCTATCTAGCAGCATTGTTATTATTATGTATGACATTATATATATACGTATATGTACAAGCAACATAATGTTGTGCGTATTGTGGATCACTAAGCTGTTAAAACTGACCATGTATCAGCAAGCAGTTAGGATGGGCTTTTTTTTTTTACCTTCACCGCGTCCAAACCAGTAGCTGTTTATGGTTCATGATCATAACACGTAGTCATCTCTACCGACCGTGTTGCGTTTACGCAGCATTCGCATGTCCCTCGTGCAGCTGCGCCCTTTGCAGTCCTATGCTGAAATGGTCTCGCGTGCTTGACGCAATGCTTCCTTGGCGACCTTTGTAGCGGCTGCGCGTCATAGCGGTCCCCCAACATCCCTACCATCGTCACGTTTCCGTCTATCATCGCATCACATGCCCACTTTCCCTTTGTAGAGGCCTTAAGATCTCGACTTATCAATTTCGTACAGTGTATACCGGCCTGCTTCCCACAGGGCACACGTCTGATCTCTGTGGTCGCCTTGGAAAGCCTTGTGGAAGCCTTCTTCTTCCGACGCTAGTTCTTCGCAGTCAATGCCTCCCTTCCGTGATTTGATTCAGCCCCCTCAACAACCTGGACTACGATCTGGTGGACGACCTAGTTCCCGACTGACTTGTTTGTTGCGGCAATCTGGCCTGCTCTTTTATGTTCCCGTCCCGGTCCTCGGGCAACTGGACAGCCTCTAAATCTCGTAGTTCAACCGCTCTTTGGCTTACAGTTCTAATTACATGTTTGGTCGGGCTTGGATTTCATAGCTACCATCAACTCGTGAAGGACTACGTCATCGGTCGAAAACTAACAATATATCAGTACGCGGCTATAGCTTTTATATTCTAACTGCGTACTAATTAGCAGTTATAGATTGCTTACTATAACAAAAAAAATATATATATACATATATATATACGAACACTTCTATTTAGATATAGACTACCCGTCGCTTATCCCACTGTTAACGTAAATCAACAAATCAAACGTTTTAATAAGTCGGCAGATATTCTATTATGATTTTTTTACACGAAGATTGATAATTACTACGTACAGAAAGGACACAGTAGTGTAGGAGGGCCACTTCTTCAAAGTAGGCTGAAAAAAACGTGTGCAACATCCGAGTAAGATATATTCAAATCTATATTTACGTGATGCCCTCAATGAATAATGATGTCGAACATCCTTGGACAGGGCACCTCGGTTTATCACTGAGATTGAATCTATTTTGTCATAGCAAACAAAGTTTTAAGAAAAACAGCTTTTATAGTACCTTCTTTTTCTGTCAATTTTAACGGGTGCTTGACCCTGTTCAAACTCAAATGCCATTCGTGTAAAATCACCAGCTTAGCGCGATGTTTCGCTTATTAAAGTCCTGTGCATCAATTTTACCTATTTTACGCAATCACAACTTTGTACACAATGAGGTCTTTAAACAAAACCGTTTCGTATTGAGTCGCCGGGTGTCAGTCTGCTGCAATCGGAAGCTGGCTCAATCATACGTCCGTACAGATGGTCAGAAACCCAAAGGCGAAAGAGGCCATGTACACTGAGGCGTTCCAATGAGGCGAATGAGCTTAATGTAGCTGAATGAAATTAAAATAATGTGAACTTTCTAGATGTTAGAAGAAGGCAAATTCTTCAATTCATTCCAACTTCGACTAGCTCACGCAGGCGTTAGCTACCGCTCCTGAAGGTCAGCTAGGCACGGCCTAGGCGACAACGCCACGAGGGACACAGCACAGAACCCTAGACCCAGTCAAACTACACGGAAAACTATTTGAAAACTGCGACAATTAGCGTGTTAATTAGTTGGCTAGGTAATGAAGTTACTAAATTATAATAAAGGCTATCATAAGTATCGGACCACTAAGCGCGTGTGTGAAAAATCAGGCGAACAGATTGGTCGGCAGCTGACATACGAAAGCGCATAGAAGGCCGTGCCTCGTCTAAAACGACACATAGATCTGCGTCAAAAGATTGGTCCTATGATGAGTTAGTGAGTCAGTCAGTCAGTCAGTCAGTCAACATGTTTTCGAAATAGAGGCTTAAGAAAGCGATTTTTATTTATGAATGCTTCTTCTGTTTAGGAATCTAACATATATGTAGCAAGGTAGGGGTATCTCGCGGTCTGTCCAGTCTTCAGCGTAGTGTTCAGTACTTGTCATTAACATGTAAAATGGCACAAACGACACATTCTAGTAGCGCGATATGGTAGACATAATAGTCAATGGCCAAACATCAGTTTAAACAACGCATAAGTGTACAGGGTTCACGCATATGCATACAGCCATTATCAAATATATCGTCTTTCATGTTGCATCCTCCTAAACAGACGCAGAAGCTTCAATTAAAGTGTATAACCCCGAAACGTTTCGTACCTACCCTGTGCGCACGACGATGATGTCAGTGAATGCCGAACTCTCTTATAGAAAATGATATAAAATCATAATCTTCCTACAGCTGCTTGAACGTGACGGCGTCAGGCTCAAACGGGTCCGTAAAGTAAATCGAGAAAAGAAGAATACTGGTTATCACACATGCTCAGTAACGGGACCAGTACGTGTATGGGTGTTGGCTATATATGTCCAGATCGTGTGCAAAGAGGCTTTTTTTTTTCATGATTTGAGGTGTGGTCACAAGCTCCGTTTCTCGCCGAAGATAAATGCAGTATAATGTCTACGTCGTCTATCTTGTTTTTGGGCGATGGTCCTGTACTCTAAAATGTGCCCATATAGGTGAGAGAGGATATTTTGAGGTTACGTTGCTGATGGGGGCAGACTTCATGGCTGCGAAACCAAGTATTCCTGCAACATTCAATTCACGCGTAATTAGTGAGCAAGTTGACCTTTTGAGCATGTCGTGCCTTCTGAGGCCAAGCATCCAAGCGCAGCTTTTTAGACCAACTTGTGACCTAACGCCCTCCTCTAGGCCAAAATAATTACCCGGAACACTACTCCAGATCCCAACGGAATACGGTGTTCATTGGTTAGTGTTTACTTATTACGGTTGGTCGCAGAACATCAGCCACGTTTATGTAACTTCGGTGAGATCCTAATGGATGACAGCATATCCGAAATCAGCTTGCCGATTATTCGAATTACCGCCTATTCTGAATCGCATGACGTGGAACCCTTCCGACGTAAACTGTGTGACTACTCTGATTACGTGGTCAGTCAGAATCTCCCGTTTGACCGACAAATCATTACTGTCCCGGACATGACGTGGAATCGCTATTAACACGAAACTTAATTCATTCGTGTATTTAATTTAGCTTTGTCTTCTTTCATTGCGACTAGTTGCCACGAAAGAAAGAAAATGAGGAAGAGGAGCAACAGAGTGAGGGAGAAAATAGATATATATATATATATATAAGGCAAGGATGTATGGTCTAGTTAACAGAACGCACAGTCCTACGACGACGGAATAATTTCGCTTTTTATGCGCGCCAAATAAAACAGTATTTTTTTTTTTTTATCTACTGCGCTCTGTAGATGCGTAGTTTTACATTTTTTTCGTGGCATGGCACCGTCTTACTACTTCATTTTTTTCGTATACAA